ACTATACTACGCTATTTAAACCAATGGGTTGATAAATCGTATTTACTGTATCTACCAAAAAACCTTGTCTATTCTAGCCTATTGAATTCATGCTGTTGTAGTAATCTTTAATTGTGCGTAGTTAGTTCATATACCAGCATATGCTACAGTACTTCTACTTATACCCTATAAATGTTGTTGATGGTTAGTCTAAAGTCCATATTTGGATAAGGTCAAAGGTATCTGTGGTGAATACAGAATGAGAGTAATGAGTATGTTATATTAGAGGGAGGGGAATAGAAATGCTGATCTTAAAATTTTTGCAATTGTTAATTTTGTTTCATATTTTTTATTTATAATGCAAATATCCACAAAATGTGTCCTTGTAATCTGTCTTTCCCTATAAATTAAAGATGTATTGTTCCATGCGAAACACCAAAAAGTTTCAATTCAATTTCAATTTCAATTTCAATTTATTCAGATCACAAATGGCAGTAACAAGACTGAATTACTTGTGATTTACAGTTTAAAATTCATTCATAAATTGTTAAAAAGTACAATAAAAGGACATCAAAAAACAATAAAAGACAGCGATATACAATGAAATAACAGCAGAAAAATGAAGTTAAAAACATTACAAGAATAGATCAATAGTACTGTATAATAATTATTGTAAATTATTCGGTAATTAAAATTGAAAAGGTTGGAATAGGCCTAAACAAGACAATATTATTATAATTTTCGTCTCTATAAATATCATTGTCAATATTATTATTATTATTTTGTTATAATTATTAATATTATTATTATTATAATATTAGATGAAAATTGGAGAAAATATTTGAGAGATTGGGGGATTTCACAAGTCATGAATAAGGTCATTGAGGCACCTGGTTAGAAAAGGAATTGCACTGTCGTGGTACCTTTTAGTTCGCCAACTTCTAATAGCATACTTATCGGTGTGCCTAAGTTGCATTTGGTGTTGTTTTGTAATAGGTTGGAACCATTCTGAGAATCTAGGGGATTTAGAGCACTTTTGCGCAAACTTAATGCACAAATGGATTCTTTCTATCCAAAAGAGTTTCAAGACCAGTGCACGTAAGAGCATTGACATAGCTCCCAAACGTGTTACCCATGATAATTCTTAAAGCTCTCTTTTGGATTCGTTGAATTTTAGTTTTTTGAGTTTTATACAGTGATGGGGACACCAAAACCTTTAAGCCTATACAAGATGTGTAGTCTTTTGCTACTTTTAGAAATAATATTGTTAACCATAGTATCCCACTTAAGGTTAGACTGAATGTAAAGTCCGAGAATCATGGATTCACTGACAATTTAAGTGTGTCGTCATAAATTGAAATATTGGGTGGTAAGGGAGGTTCTCTTTTAAAACAAAATTGCATAACCTTGCATTTGTTAGGATTGAGTTTGATGAAATTGTTATTACTCCCAACTTACAAGCTCTGACACAGCAGTAGTGATGCAGTTAAAGTTACCAGGGTTAAATGTATTAACAAGAGTAATATCATCGACATACTTAAATCAACTGCATGTAGACTTGTATAACGCATTATTAATAACACATGAAAAAATCAGCGGGCCTAATTTCATTCCCTGAGAGACCCCACATGACAATGGTTGCCAGCCCGAGCATGCAGATCCATACTTAACTCTCTGACGCCAAGAATGTAAGAAGTCAATGATCCAGGGTACAATTTCATTCCTGACTCCAAGTTCGAGAAGCTGATTAATAGCAACAATATGATCAATGCAATCAAAAGCCTTGATAAAATCTGTAATTACCATAGTGCCAACAGAATTTTCCTTGTCTAACCCTCTATATAGCTTATCTAACATTTCATTTAGGCAATAAGTGGTGGAACATCCATGTAAACATCCAAATTGGTAACGGTCAATATTATCAATAATATCATTCATAGCCCAGCCGCAAATGAAATCCTCACAAACTTTAGAGAGTTGGGAGGTAAGGGAAATTGGGCGAAGTTTGTCGATGGATGCGGGCATTTCCTTAGGTATGGGTATAACATTGGCATCTTTTCAAATCTGAGGTACATATCCTTCTTTTAGAGAGGCATTGAATATTGCAAATAGATTCACAAGCGAAATTCTTAATAAGTTTGGGGGGAATTTCGTCCGGGCCAGTTGCCTTGCTGATTTTAATCTTACTAAGTTTAGAGTACATTTCCCAAACTTCGACCGAAGGGGGTTTATTATATGGCATGAAAGCAGGAAGTTTCTCCCTACAAAGTGGGGTTCTACTTTGCGACACTAAGGCAAACCATCATAAGTTATGAAGATCAATAATTTTTAAATTAACCTGCCCATTTTGAAGTAACAAAAATTATCGATTTGGACATAAAAATTAGTGTATTTAAAAACCCATAATTTAAAAATACTTCCAGTGACTGGAAGTGTTTTATTATTTTAGTTGAAAAACTGAGGGACGTTTTTTTTGCAATTCAATAATTTCTATGCTGAAATTAATAGTTTGTATGTTACTGCAAAATGAGAAAGTTATTTTTTTGTCGTTTTGAAGGGACAATACATCTTAATATTGTACAGTAGACTACAAGGAACATGCACAGTAAAATCTCTTAAAAAACAATTGACTCACTAGAAAGACTGTTTTGATAGTCAATTGTGTGGTTTCACTAGAATGTTAATGTTAAAGGCATAACAATCAACAAAGACTAATGAAAGCCTACAGTACACTTTAAAAAATTTCATAATTTCCAAAATTGAATAGGCTTTCCAAAAACACTTGTAATAATTTGTGGATGCCAAAGTGTGACAAACCATATTCATAAAACTATTTGTTAGTTTATTATCAAGGATCTGAGAGGCAGACACAATGTTTGTTGATGTAACATGCAATGTAAAATGAACCCCTCTCCACACCCCCAATAAAGAAATAACCAACTTTATGTCACCCAAGCGTGAGCGACACAAAATCTCAAAAGTCAAGGAAGCACCAAAATTGATGTATGTAATGTGTAATGTATCTCAGAAATTTCCAAGTTCTTGATAAAATGTAAGAAATAAGAACAAGACATACTAAAATATTCATATTTAATGATATTTAAATTATTTTATGGTTCCTATCCTATAACATATATTGTTTGCTACAGTGGTATTGAGTTTTCAACAGATAATGTATTTGTTCATAGTTCTCAAAATACTCATAAATGGTTTTTCTGAAATGCTAGTAAGTCAACATGCAATAGTTTACTGTACACATATTTCTTTATAACCATCAATAATGTCAATGCATGCATTATGATGGTACAATTTCTGTCTGTATGGATTAATAATTTATATTTGCTAGTCCTTTCTGCCTGTTTATTTCTCAAGAATTGATAAAGGTTGAAGTCAAAATCAATACCATGCTTTCCACATAAAAAATGAGGTTATTCCATTATCTAGTAGGGGTTTGTTAAATTAAAATTTCACATTTTATGTGGCATTTCCACTTACCGGTATTTTCAGATGATGTCAATAATGAAGATACCAAAACTTATGTCACCTTCTCTTGTAAAGAGACTTTAGACCAATTAATATAAAGTACCTTTTTATATCTTCCTTGATTTTATTGATTTTTGTTAATATTACTGTAAAGTCAGATTTCATTTAAAACAGTTCTCTACCAGCATAATGATAAATGTTTAAAAAACACACGAAATGCTGGCAGACATTATAGGAAATAGGCCTTCTTCCTTTTCAGAAATTTAAACAATAAAAAATGTATTTTTAACTTGTCTTTATGTTTTTTGTTGTTGTATTGAACAAAAAGTATTTTATATTTGTATATAGTGCAGAGAAAATATCAACACAAGTTTCTAGTATATAAGATAGCATGAAAGAAATTATTGAATGAAGTTATTGTGATTCAATATATTTCAATCTTTATTAGTTCATCTGTTAACGTTTTGATGGCTTTGCTCTTCAAATGCCGAAAAGCTCTCCTGTATTTTACAGTATTTATCTGAAAAATAATATTTTTATATTATAGAATAAAAATTATATTTTATCCTGAATTACCTATATAAATCAAAGATTTGCATTTCTAAAATTCATTCTTCCATGAATTTCAGGGTTCCTTGAGAAGGAGATCCAGCGGGCTAATATACCAATCGTCACCCCTCCCACCATTCCAGACTCTCCTATTCCAAGAGAAATGATCGATCTTGAGGTAGGATATAGTTATAATTTAAGAGGGAAAAAAAATCTGCATTCTTTAATTTATGATTGTGTTTTTATATTATACTACTATTTTTTGTATTGTAGTTTAAAAAATATGTTTCCATTTTAATTGTTGTTGTCCGAAGCATATTTGGAAACCTTTATTTTAAACCCTGTCCACACTATCAAATTTATTTGTCAAAAACATGTGACATGCCTAAATATGGTCATGATGACATCACATCATGACCATATATAGGCACATCATGACTATATATGGGCTTACAATATTTTTTCATCAATGAAAATTTGATAGTGTAGACAAAGCTTTATATTAGCTTAGGTTTGATCATCAGATTCTTATTTTCAATTATTCAAGTTTGTTTTTCGTTTGAGAAAAATATGGTGCATATCAACCAGTGATCAATCAACCTTTGACTCTTGATTTACTGTATGTTTTTTAAAGGATTTATTCAACAAACTACATTTTAGCCAGTAATTAAATTGTGTACAATTTACAAAAAAGAAAAGCTTGCAATAGCTATATTGCACATTAAAATTGCACTAAAAGAAATAATAACAAGTAGACACTAGGCCTAAAATCTAACCAACTGAATAAGCAATAAGAATTAAAGCTAAGTCACAATAAATATTTAAAAGATTTAAAAAATAATAATAAAGGAACAGACTTTTAATACAAAAGTGAATCATAAAAACATTGGAGATGTGAGAATTTATATTAATAATAGGTATTCTTTTTGGTAACAACTTTTTTCAACTGTCATTTGACAGGTGTCTATCTGGCCTGGCCCATAAGCTACAGCTATAGAATTTATTCCAAACCCAAAACTGTGTTTCCGTAATCATATTTGTGCTGTAGAATATATAATTCCAGTAAAACTGAAGACAGAAATAACATGCCATAATACTAATAACAGTATGGTGTTACAGACAGTAACTCAATTAAACCGCGTAATAAAAGATATGATACAGACAGTGGCGTATCATTAAGCTCAACTAATGTACGGTATCGTTAATGTTATTTTGAAGGCGTGCTTTGAGAAACTGGAGAACGAAATGAAGGAAGTGAACACGAACCAGGAGGCGCTGAAGCGCAACTTCCTTGAGTTGACAGAACTGAAACACATTCTCCGCAAGACTCAACATTTTTTTGATGAGGTATGTAGTCTTAATAACAATATTACTGGTCAATGATAGTAAAGAAAACTTCATCAAAAAAACTGAAAATGTGATTGTAATTTTAAAATTACAGGTCTCTCTCTAATTTAAGACCCCTCCAATTAAAGACCACTTTTCTGTGGTCCCATTGTCTTTTATCTTTATTATTCTAATTAAAGACCAAAGCTGCTAAAGGCCATGAAAACCCAGGTCCCAAAAGTGGTCTTTAATTAGAGGGAGACTACATATTTTTCAGAATTTATCTATCAATTAATTAGTTACTTATGATATATGAGGTATTCAATATTTTTTTTTCTTGAAGAATATTGCTTTAATGTTTATAAAATTTATATTATTGTCATTTTTCCTTTCTTTACATATTTTTTAACAGTCAAGTTTGTCCCTATGACACTATAACAGTGCCGTGAGCCCTCAAATTTAGAAGTTAAAAAATTAAAATAGAAAGGAACAACAAAATTTAACTATAATTTATTAGTACCATACCGTTTTAAAAAAATCTTATAGAGAACTAGTTTTTTTTTTCCTAATTTTTTTTGGAGTAATTTTATTTATAATTTTTTTTTTTTCTAATTTTACATTAAGTTTAATGTTTGGATATTGGAAATTTTTAATTTCACAATACTTTATTTCTAAAAAAATGTTAAATTTAGCCCTGTATCGTGTTATATTGCTGATACATTTTGGATTTGTTTTTAGAACAACTTTGACCAAGCTATGTTCGATATCATATCCACTCATAATTATATGGTAGTATTTTGTTGAATAATCGTTTTAATTTTATTTTTGCTTAATGAAATATTTATTTTTTTTATGGTGATTTGGTTACTTTAATCTTTGGAATAAATTTTCTAGTTCATTTGTTATAATTTTTATGAATTGAACCACATTGTTTACTATTTCAAAAGTTTCTGAATTTGATGGGGTTTTCTTTACTTAGTTGAATTCCCTCTGTGAAACCTTTTCCCAATTTCCATTTCAATCAGCCTGATCCCCTTAATTCCCATAGAAACCATCCTTATTTTTGAGTTCCTGTGACATGATTTTGTTTATCATTTTATTTTTGTTATACACATTGTTATGTACCTGTTGATGAACACAATTTTGATCCAGATACATATTAGCACTATTTAGTTATTTTTGTTTTTTGACCTTTTAATCCCTCTTTTAACCTTCTCTATTTAATCACCCTTAATCTTTTTTAAAACAACCAACACACAATTAACCATTGGTGTAATGTTATGCACAGTGAAAGAGTTATCAACATGATTTAGTTTCATATCAAGTCACGATCTTTTCAACTTGAAGATATCACTGTCACATATGCATTACCCAGCTGCCAGGGGTATCTAGGATTCTTGAAATGAGGAGGGGCTGATGGGGGTGGGAGAGGATGCAGATGTGAAGTGGGGGGCTTCATGATTAAGTGAGGAGGCACTAGCTTGTAAAATAAGGTGATAGGTAATTTTTATCTAATTGGCACTTAATTTTTTCTGCTTCAAACGTTCTCAATTGGGGGTGACTGGGGTGCGAGTTTAGTGGTTGGGGCTGGGGGGGGGGGGGGGGGGAAGTACGCCCTTGCACACACCCTAGATACACCACTGCCAGCTCCACCACTACAAAGGTCAGGGACACATATTGATGATTGATAAATTATGTGAGCACAGATGGATTGGCTTGATATAAAAAATTCTGCTTGCTTCAAGGCCATACAGTAGATAAAATCATTGTTACATTTTTTGTCTTGCTACACAAAATCACTTCATAAAAATGTAGCTATATCAAGCATAAACAAAGAAAAGGAAGGTTTGGGTGGGCAGGGATAGATATTGTGTCAAAATATAAATATTTAAGACTTATTTGTAATAGAAATTTTTATTAAGTAAATTTGTGTCTTAAAATGTTTATCTTTTCCAATTGGGGAGGTGTCAACGCACCCATCGCACCCCCTTGATATTGGCCTGGGGGTGTGGTGTGAAGAAAATGTGGGACAATAAAGAACCAAAAAATGTGTACAATTATAATAAGCTAATACAGTGTCTCAATTTTTGCATGTTTTCAATACATGCAGCATGTTTTTATAATTTTTTATGTTAAATTGTTGCTTTAAATTATGTATTGAGTGTTAAACACCAATTGTGAAGTTGTGAATGTATATAAACATAAGTGAAACTAACGTAACACACTACGCATCCTTTCCTTCTATAGTCGTCCTTCTCAGCATTTCTTTCCGTCCATGTAAGTCAGTTATTAAGTGACCGCATTTTAAAAATTGTTTTCAATTTGTTGTACATTAAAACAATAATATCCATCTGCATGAAAAAAAATCCTATATAGTTTGAGTTGATGACAACTTTGGCATTTCTTAGATTTTATATATTTAGACAAACATACAGTAGTTCTAACTACTACAGTAAAGTTCACCATATAAATTTCACTAATATTTTTTCAAACTTCAAAAACATTTTTTTAAATAATTTTATTCTTACAATTTTTTTTTTACACTTTTTGAAAGATGGGAAATGGAGGGATATAATTTGCAGTATTTATTTATTTCAATGGTGTTTGCTTCAGGGGATTAGTATTAGTAATGATGTTTTGCTCTATCCGACATGCATAGTACTGAATTCTCGCGACAGAAACCTTGCAAGTTATTTGAGTGGGAATTGAACGAAAGGACCTTCAGATAACTAGGGGTTAAGACACCAGGCTAGTTTTCTGGAGAATTGAAATACATATTTTGTTTCGAAGATTACATTGTTATACGAAGCAAACATTTAAAATAGGTTTATTTTAATTATTACAAATTAAAAAATATTTTAATTTTTTTATTGTTGCTGTAGAACAATTTCTTTGAATCATTTATCGTAAGCTTAATAATTTTAATTAAGTAATACACATTAGCCTTTTTTTTTTTGTTAGTTTTTCATATAGTACGTTTATTTTTAAACTGGTTTTGCTTACTCACATTAGATGAAATTTTTTGAAAAATGGAGAAATCTTCAAAAGCAAAGCTTGTGAATGCAGCATAAATAATATTCGCATCCTCCTTTGGATGCAGCATAAATAATTTTCGCATCCTCCTTTAATGCAAATAATATAAATTTTGGTAATGACCATATGACTCAGAGGAATTCCTGAGTAGAGAGATGCAATGAATGTTTGGATATTTAGCATTAATTTAATACTAATCTCCCCAACCCATCCTACCCCTGTTCCACTCTTTACACATTTCAACATATTCTTTATTTTATATTTTTATTGGCTGTATAGCATCAGTCCATTTATTAAATATTCAGCTATATGCAAAATTCATACAATAACATTACAGTGAACTGTAAAAGAAGCCATTGGCAATTAAAAATGAATTAATAAGTATATAAATTAGACTAAAGTGTTAACATTTAGAGTTGTTAAAAAAGGTTAAGAGAAAACAAAATCAGCAATTGCAAAACTCTGTGTATACCGTAGTAGAGAGAATAATAATATTGAGCAGAGTATTCATATCAACCTATCTCCAGTTGGAATCAGTATATCTAAGCAGCAGAAGGAAATGTAAACTTGCAGAATTTGTTTACTCAAATATACGCCTCCTCCTGTCGACCGTTGTACTACTGTAGGTGTTCTGTTGTAACTTGCGTGCTCCCAGACACATATACAGTCAATTTGTATTTTACAATTCATTAATCTCTTATTATCATAAAATATATTCATATTATATATATTTTGTTTGACGAGAGCCTTTGCTATAAATGGTATCTTTATTCAAAAATCAATTTTGACAATTATCTGTTTAATTGTTGCTAACACAATCCCTAGGCCATTTGTGCCAAAATAAATAAATAAAAGTAAAATATTAATGTTGATTAGGAATAATAAGAACAATTTCTGTTTTTAATTAATTAATTAATTATTATTATTATTATTATTATTATTATTATTATTATTATTATTATTATTATATAAATTATCATAATTTAGTCAAAATATAAAATTCAATGTTTTGAAATATGAATGTTGATATTACAAGTTTTTATTAAATTATTAGCTTTTTAGAGAATCATCAAAAAGTCACCATCATCACTTATTTATTTGAATTTCATCTAATATTTTACAGCCCATTAAAAATAAAAATTCTTCATTTTTTGTCATACTTTTCAACTTTTATCTTCCATATGATTTTTAGACTAGGGTCACAAATGTGTGTAATAAATTATCATACATTAGAAAAACGCTCCGTGTCTCCTTAGGTGTAATATCAAATAGTGTCCACATCATTGCATTCTCATTAGCAGTCATAATGTCTTATTGAATTTAATTTCATGCTTGGTTTTCATTATTGAGTCATGCATAGTTGATCATGTGACAATGTAGGTATTGTCAAGACCATATGACAGTTTCACTCAGTATTTCCTTGTAAAGTTGTTGTTATTAATTACATCACTGTATTAATCACATAATACCTTGCACACTTGCTGTCATGTGTGACCAATTCAATCCCATAATTCCTTGTACAGTTGTGTCATGTGACCATTGCACCCCATAATTCCTTGTACAATTATGTCATGTGATCATTCAGTTTGCTTTTCATGTTTGCATCTGCTTATTTAGTGTTATGAAATGCTGTAGTGTTTTTTTTGTTTTTACCTCTCATTTGCACCTATTGTCTGTACGTGCATGGTGGTGGTGTATTGCTGTTGTGGATCATGTTGTTCCTCTCTCTTGCTATGATACAACTTACTAGGCTGAATTGCATCACCACCAGATGCACGATGCTGACAAGGACGAAGAGAATCACCTGCTCCTAGGCGACGACGAGCATCGACAAGGGGTCCCGATGAGGCTAGGGTGAGTAGTTAGTGCAATGCTGTGGACATCAGTATATGAGTGGTCTAATCTGAACAGTGTAATAAGAGACTTAATTTCTTTCACTTTTTTCTGTCTTGGTCTGTTTTATGATATTTTATACTTATATTATGTTATGTGGGAGCGATTGGCACAGTGGTTGTGCTTCGGTTCCTCAACCTCAAGGTTGTGGGTTCAAATCTTTGCTGTACATTTCGCTTTTGGACAAGAAACTTCACCTCCATTTGTCTCTCTCCACCCAGGAGTATAATTGGACACCTGGTTGAAATGAACTTGGGAAGTTAAAAAGGAGGCGTGAAAAGGAACTGGCCACCCTACCACACAATGTCAAGGCTCGATGTGATGGGCTCCTAACAGCTCATTCCTCTACGTTTATTAGAATATGGGATTACCTTTATATTATGTTGTATTGTAACTGGTTGACATTTCTTTGTATTGAGACAAAGTAGATGCAAATGAAATGCTAATTTAATAATGTAATGTAATATATGTAGCGGGACTTCTTCTGCTTCCAAGGTTGAGGGCGAACTTTTTAAAGCTTTAGCTTGAAACGGACTCTCACAACAGGCCTCAAAGAGAATTTTTGACAGTGAAAATATTTTAAATATTATTTTGTATTGTTCAACACAATCTATTCTGTAATATGATGTTTTGATGTTATTCTAATTAGTTTTCTTGCTGGCGTCATCAACCGTGAACGCATACCAGCCTTTGAGCAGATGCTTTGGAGAGTGTGTCATGGCAACGTGTTCCTCCGTCAGGCAGTCATTGATGCTCCCCTGGAAGATCCGACAACGGTAAGCAACACTATTTTGTAGTACTTTCATGTTTAGTATGCAAGCACAGAATTCAACTCAGCCCTGGTTCTCAAAAAAGTAACCACCCACTTTCAGAACCACCAATTTATTGTAATCCGAGGCCCTTATCACACAGCTGGCAAGCTGAGAATGGTCTAGGAGCCATTCAAATCAGCAATGATGTTAAGGCTGCCTTACCGCTCAGCCACATGACTCGCATTTTTGGCATTAAAAAAAATTAAATTGTGAATTGCATTTTCAATTTCTCCTCAGCTATCATCATCAAAATTTGCTTTTCTTACTTCCTCATCTGAATAATTGTTAGAGTAGTCATTGCAGAATAAAAGGGTACGAAGAGTAATAGATAGTGTAAGAAGGGTAGAAGTAGTGTAAATTGCATCCAAACATCTCATCAGCTGGTTTCATGTTAGCCAGTGGATACTAAATACCTGCAAAATATGTCTAAAAATAGCATGTTCAAAAGGAAAGTGCAGCAAAGATATAATTGTGGGGGCTGTAAAATTACAATACTCATTATACATGCAGTAACTCTGATTACTATGAATAATATTAAAACCAATCTAATTGTCTTTCTGAAAATTATAATGAAGCTGATGGGTAGAATGTACTCCAGTGGGTAGAATTAAAATAGTGATTATTGATTTTTTCCCCTAATTTCTAGGGTGACCAAGTGCACAAAAATGTGTTCATCATATTTTTTCAAGGCGAACAGTTAAAGAGCAGAGTGAAGAAGATCTGTGAAGGGTATGTACTTCCTATTTGTTAGCTGCAGAGTATAGTTGAGTAGCTTGGTAGTTAAGGTGCTTGCCTCCAATCCCAGGGTCCTCGGTTCAATTCCTGTCAGCCTTTTTTCTGATGACCAGAACAACTCCACTCCCTAAACCACATATTGAGATTTAATTTGTGTGAAGCATCGTGTGTGTATGTTTGTCTTGTGCAAGAGGTTGTCACTTAGTAGGACAGTGCTATAATTTGCTATTGACAATCCTTGATACATTGTGTTGTTGTGCCTAAATAAATAGATAAATTTTTTTTTAAAGAAATGGTATATAAGAGCTGTTGTGACAAAATGAGTTTTGTTGTACAAAATGTTAAATATGAATTATTGATATATTTAGATAGCATGAACATATAGGCTTAATTTTGGTCTTTAAAGCAGGTTCATAGCTTGAGTACTTGTTGGAGTAAAATCATTTTTCAATTCTGAAGTTCCAAAACATACTTTAGAGAAAATTGTCACTGAAGATACACAACTGATAAATTCTGTGTTGGTTTTCCTTTCAATTCTGAAAACAGCTTTAAAGAATGTGCCTCAAAACAATTTTAACTAAAGTAAATCAACTCATAACATTTGTTATTGTGAAATATACATACTAAACTTATCAGAAACATTGAATCTCAATATTTTACCAAAAACGCCCTTCATATATATTTTCTTGAATATCTCAAATTTACTTACTGTAGCACAAGATAAATTTTTTCACAACGCTTCACATTTATTATACGGTACTAAGTTATCATTTAATTTATTCATATTTTTGTATGACTGATCCGAAATCTTGAAAATCTAGGGTTGTGTTTTTTTGCCAGAGCTCACAATACATATGCTGTTTCAAAGGCCCCATTGTAATTTCATGCTTTAATTAATAAACTGAATTTTTGCCCTTAATTATTTTTCATGCCAATTTTTTGAAGTATATTTATTACAGTATTTCATTCTTTAATGATTACAATTATCTTTTTAGATTCCGAGCAAGTCTGTACCCATGTCCAGAGATGCAAAGTGAACGCAGAGAAATGGCAATGGGTGTGATGACAAGGATCGAAGATCTAAACACAGTAAGGCACTAGGATGTGTAAACAATATGATAATTTTGGAAGGAATTTGAGTGAACAAGAGGATAATGATAAAGATAACTTATGGGGGTGGGGAGTGGTGATGGCGGCTGTCAGTAGTTTCAAAGGCAAATGTTTATAATAATGACTGAATGTTAATGATAACAGGTGTTCATAATTACAGTGTAGTTAGGGAAAATATGTATAATATTTGTTTTTAAATATAGCCATCAGAATTATGAACTCCATTGAAATTCTCCGCCAGGTTCTTGGACAAACCGAAGAGCACCGTCAGCGAGTGCTCCACTCGGCTGCCAGCAACATTCGCCTGTGGTTCATTAAAGTACGCAAACTGAAGGCCGTCTACCACACCCTCAACCTGTTCAACCTTGATGTCACGCAAAAGTGTCTGATTGGTGAGTGCTGGTGCCCAGTGTCAGATCTGGAACAGATACAAGCGGCTTTGAGACGTGGCACTGTAAGTTGATCTTGGCCTATTGATAAAAATCTGTTCAAACTATTTATTTTGCTCAAATTCAAAGTACAATGAAGAAAGATTTACTTTCGGTACTCTACAACATGATATTTTGGTTTATTTATTTAGGTATGACATTTAAATTGTTCGTTTTCTTTTTAGGAGAAAAGTGGCTCTAGTGTGCCGTCGATTCTGAACAAGATGATCTCGACAGAACAACCACCCACCTACAACAACACCAATAAATTCACCAGTGTATTCCAGGGCATAGTTGATGCTTATGGAGTCGCAAGCTATAGAGAAGTTAACCCAGGTAACTGTAATAATAGAGTTTGAAAAAAGGCTAAATTGACATGTGTTTTGACACCAGTGGGAGGGTGGTGGTCTGGCGGAGCATACGACCCACGTCCCTTGACACCATATTGAAGAAGAAGCCAAATTCTTCTCCAATGCTTAAAAAAGAATTTTGCAGAGTGCTTTTTTGCCTGTTCTCAAAACTTTCTCCTATTAAAGTGTGGCTGATGCGCTGGATATGACCCTCGGTTGACGACCTTGGATCCTGTGTGGGCAAACACTCCCCTCACATGAAGACCTTGGACTCCTGGTCAGGATATCTCAGGCATCGCCACTGATGTGACACACACTGACATGTACAGGCGCACACAACCAGTCAACATTAGTACTCTGAGATATGCTGTAGCAATAATACTACAGGAGCCAGGCTTAAGATGTTGTATGCCCATATATAGTCATGATGTGCCTATATATGGTTATGATATGATGTCATCATGACCATATTTAGGCATGTCACATGTTTTCGTCAAATAAAATTTGATAGTCTGGACTCAACACTCAAATGTTTTATCAAACAATTCTTATCGTGTCCACTGTGTGGTGGTGGTTAAACTGACGTAAACCATGGTCGTGACATGCTTCTATCCATGACCCCAAACTATGTCTGACAGATTGTTTAATGTAATTGTTTTTCAGCTCCGTATGCCATCATCACATTCCCCTTCCTCTTTGGTGTCATGTTCGGGGACTTGGGTCACGGATTCATCATGTTTCTGATTGGCTTGTGGTTGGTGGTGAATGAACGCAAGCTGCAGGAAACCATGGGTAACGATGAGGTAAAGTGTACTATAAATAACGTTCGCAGAACAATTCACTATGCAGAATATGCACTAGAAAGATCTTGCTGTCGTAATATGATGACATACGTAAATATAATAGTCAAACTTCAGTTTAGATTACATCGCACCACCCTGCGCAATGCAGCTTTGAGTCGTGTATCATTCTCGAAAGTTTTGGCCATTTTCAGGACTCTTGCTTTTATCTTTTCATTACCAAACAAAAGAACAGCGTACCAAATTCGATCTGATCATGCTCCACACATATGCTGCAAACAGTGGAGCTCCGAAAACTATGAATCATAGTTAGTGCATAAGAAAACTGGTGTGCACACACACAGCAGTACAATATTCCTAAGAATTAAACAAGAATTTTAAATGAGAAAATTTCAAATAAAGTTTAAGGATAATAATTAATCTAACTGATCCAGTTTATTTTTACCTATATGCTTATTTAACATTATCATCACCATCATCATCATCATTATATCATCATTGTCATCATTATCATCATCATCATAGTAACAGTAATTGTTCACATACATATACCTCTTAAATTCTTTTTTGGAAGCTCTGACTGTTCCTCTTATCTGCACTGTACCCAGTCATAAAAAAAATAAGCGCACCAAGCCTGTTATCAGTTTACCTTACTTTGACATGCATTATCTAATTATTTTGTAGGTATTTGGTATATTTCTCGGAGGTCGATACATCATCTTATTGATGGGTGCTTTTGCAATGTATGTTGGTTTCATATACAATGATGTATTTTCCCGAGCGTTAAACGTGTTCGGATCCACTTGGAATGTATCTGCCATGAATTTTAGTGAAGAATTATTGCATGGAGAGGGAAGCTATATTTTGAATCCAAATGTGACTGTAGTTCCGTACCCATATGGAATAGATCCCGTAAGTATCTGCAACTTTATCATCTTCAGTGATTTATTTTTCAAAAGATTGGACTACTTTTATGTACCAAATCATACTTGGCAAAATTGCTTAATGTAAATAAGGTACACTGCACATGGAAGTTTTTTCATTTCAAGAGATCAGCTAGCTCAGTCGGCCAGACTGGTGCTAACCGCTGCGTGTGCTGAACCGTGGAAATCTTTATGTCGGATAAGACGTTTATGCCGTTGGTGCCATGTGCAAAATGGCCCATTTGCACATTAAAGAATTCAGTACACTCTTTGAAAGATAGTAGGGGATGTTTCCTAGTGTACTACTCTATTCACCACCAGAAGGACCCCCGCTGGAAATAAATCTCAGGACTTTCGTGGGTTATTCTTGGTGTGCAACACACCAAAAAAATCCAATCAAATCCGTTTGTGAAAGGTTATTTACTGAAAATATTAGCCCTAACATTCATTGGTGTTGGTACCGGATGCAATAGATCGTACAACAAACATATGTACAGATAATAAACACAATGAGTAGGCCTAGCAAGTTGTAATGTTTTTCCTCTTGTATGGCCAAGAGTAGAATAATATAATTCTCCTAATATAAGAAACTTTCTGGATCCTCTTTAAAATCAAGCAAAATTATTAAATGTTGACAAGATAAATATTAGGAGAAACCCACAAATTTTGTTAGGACTTGGGAGGTCCAAGACTAGGATCAATTAGCAGTGGCGTATATATGAGGGTAGTGCACACCCCCAAAAATACTTGCGACTTCCTGTTGCCCCTCAAAAATCAGTCAAGTAGTTACAAATCACCTCAAACCACCTTATTTTGCGAGCTAGCACCCCCCTCACCTACACATCCCCCTCACCTACACATCCCCCATCACCCTCCGTTTCAAGGCTTCTAGATGAACTGTCAGTTAGTAACTCTTCCATTACTTCAGATTTGGCAACTAGCTGGAAACAAGATTGGCTTCCTAAATTCGTACAAAATGAAGATGTCTGTGATAATTGGTGTCACTCAGATGGTTTTTGGTGTCATCCTCGGTATATTTAACCACATGTGAGTATGCCAATAACTTAGCAGTATTAATAAACGGGTTTATTGTTTGTGGAAAAACTCAAGAAAAACCAGTCACTCATCGTAAAAAATGAATTGATTTTAGATATTAATACAGGGTTTAACAGTAAAATGAAAGTTATATGGTAGACGAATCATTTAAATCCGATATTTTGTTATGAAGTTTAATAGGATTTTAAACATACAGCTGCTTAAAGAACAGTATTCGAGAAATCAGCCGTAATTAAAATTTTAGGATTTTGGATATTTCACAGGCAGAGACCATCACCAAAATATGCTTTTTTTGTAATATATATTGTATATTTAAAAACTATTAAACTACTATCAAAATCAGTGGTACTCACAACTATTGTGGTGCATTAGAAAAGTAAAACGTTAGTAATAAATTCACACTTAAAAAATATATACAGTAATTTAATTATTTTAATATTTAAAAAAAAAAAATTCCTTTTGTTTTTATCAGTTACTTCAAGAGGTTCGTGAACATTTGGTGTGAATTCATCCCTCAGCTCATTTTCCTTACGTTCATCTTTGGTTACATGTGTTTCCTGATCATCTTCAAGTGGTTTAGGTACAGCGGTGCTGACTCTGATCAGGCTCCCAGTCTCATCATTACTATGATTAACATGTTCCTGTTCACAGAGGGCGATATGATGTTCAAGGGACAGGTGAGGGCGCTAGATAATACTAAGATGTAATAATTTTTACTGAAGTAATTGATCCACATTAGCAGCTGCAGATAGCACCAAACCTGAATACTCCTTTGATTCTTTATTCCTAATTTTTAGCTCTTTTTATTTGTTTTTAATGTTTGATTAATTGTTTTTATCCCTATTGACCTTCTCAATCCATGCTTATATTGTTACTGTTGAGATTATGTTATTGTATTATTAATATTATTGTTATTTTGAATGAAGAGGCATATGTATTATATTTGTTATATTCTTTATCCATTTTTTCTTTCCAGATTCATTTTATATTATGCTTGTAAATGATCATTATTATTGCACTTTGTAGGAATATTCCATTTTTACAACTATATTTTTGAGCTTCCTCTTGCCTGAAACATTCCATTCTTTGAAGTGATGATCATGGTTACAACTTTTCATGTTCACAAAAATATACATCGTAGTTACACTAATATACTCTCTTCTTTGTTTTTTTTTTTTTCACTTTTACAATGAGAACAAATATAATATAATTTTAAATAAAATGAGGTTGAAAAGAGGCAACTAAATGCCTATCGGGTTCAATGCCCTATAAAAGCAAATTAATATATAAATTTTATTGATTGGCAATGGTTTTCTCATCATAGAATATACAGTATTCATATTATATATTTCTTGTTTGACGAGAGCCTTTGATATAAATGGTATCTTTATTAAAAAATCAACTTTGACAGTTATCTGTTCTGTACACAGTTCCTGGGCCATTTGTGCCAAAATAAATAAATAGGAGTAAAATATTAATCTTATAACAATGTTGATTAGGGATAATAACAATAGCAATTTCTGTTCTTAATTATTGTTATTATTGTTTATTATTATTATTATTATTATTATTATTATTATTATTAGTATTATTATTAAAATTTTGAAGAGTAATTTGCTCAAATCTTCTTTAACTTTTTTCTTTGTACGTCATTGAAAATTGTTTAAATTTTTGAAAGTATCTGAATTGAAAACTTATTGTCCATTATAACATCTTGCACAAAACGAACTTTTCTGATAAAACCATTAAAAATTAATACACCAAAAAGTGCATTCAGAATCTAAAGAGACCAGTACCATTCCTTAAAAAATAATTTATTTTATTCCATTGTTTGTTATTGATGTTCAATGATTATTCAAGAAAGATTGATTGATTGATTGATTGATTTATTCTTCAACAGTTTGGATTTCAAGTATTCCTCCTTTTGATTGCTGTTGCAGCTGTTCCTTGGATGTTGCTAGCCAAACCCATCATATCATATCGGGAACATAATTCACTTCAGGGGAAGGTACATGTCATCCATCAGCTATCATTTATATCACCAACAGAATTTCGCACCAGGAATGTTAGGAATACGTAGGGGATATGCTTGTGACAAGGCATAAGCATAATTTACAGGCTATGCTTTTAGTCTGTGTATGATTTTAAGGGAATATTTTGTAATTAGTACAAAGATATATTTGTAATTTAGTTACTTAATGACTGTTACTTCAAAATTTAAGATAAAGATAGGAGATTTGCATACATCTTTACATAACCATGCACATGTGGTTAGGGAAGGGCATTTGGATGCAATGGTAGGGATGGTTGTGGACATAGGTATTAGTTGCTCAAAAAGAAAATAGTTACCTGTATATAAGGAAGGTGTATATATACAGTAGCTGGGATCATTATGGGGTTTATTCATTCACAAACACCCTCATAATGCTCTAGTTAAATGTAGGAGAATATGGTGAACATGTGATATATTGGGAACATCCAGCCAAGATTTACTGCTAAGCAACAATCGAGCAACACAGTTCATAGCGGGCAGAATATACAGACCAGGGCAGATAGCTGGGGACATCCAGGCTATGTCATGGTTCATGACAGAGGAACACCCAGGCTAGAATTTTTGTAACCAAAAGATATACTTAGGTTAGGATTTAAATTTAAGGACACTCAACTTAGGATTTGTAACTTGGGACATCTAGGTCAAGGTTCATACCAGGAGTACAACAGGTAACGGTGTGTAGTAATTATTAATTTTCACTTGCATGCTTCTCTTGGTACTTGTCACTTCCAATTCAATTTCACTACACTTCCTTACTCCGCATCCTTGCACCAACCTCTTTCATTTTTGACTTTTTAACGTGAAACGTGAATTTTTTTTCTCGTTGATTTTCTTCTTTTAACATCTTTTCATTTTTCTCAGGCAAACTTCGATGCAAATAGCAACTAACAATTTTGTACAGCCATTTAACAACCTTTAACCTTTATTTACAGCAGCCAATAGGATTGAATCCGAAGTTTATTGTTATTCTTCCACATAAAGCCAAGTGAAAAAAAAAGTTTCTCATCTGGAATAAATGCTCCTTTTTTCGCCATCTTTTTAGATCAAGATCCATTTATTGATGTCATGGAAAATTGTTTAACTCCTGATCTGTCCCTCTTCCTGCTTTTGGTGATGGATCTGCTATTCATATTTACTGATACAGGTCCCCCTCCACTTTTCAGTGGTCCCATGTTAACCATATGAGGCATGTTGTGACCAAATGGTTAAAGTTGTCGCACAGGCCAGTATTGAGTAAATGATCTATAACATACATACAGCACAAAAAATTACCTAAAAATCAATTTTTTTTTTCCATTATAGATCAAAGTTTAATGTCTGATTAATCATGTCCAAAACCTTAGTTCTGGAAATTGTCAACAAATCGTTTATTTAACGTTATTTTTGTAGTTAATTCTAATAAACAATATATGCACAAATATCTTTGGATGGAAGACTATTACTCAAAATTTGTTTATCTTGACTGCAAGAGTGCTGTACTTTCACTTCCCATTAACTAAGGCTTAAAATATCCAATTTCAATGAATGACCCCTCATTTTAAAGATTACATACACAGGTATTTGAAATACCAATAACTTGAATTTTAGTGTTTGCTACGGCTTAGCCATTTTGCCACAACATACCTCAAATATCTATTATCTTTATTCTAATTAGAGACCAAAGCTCCCAAAAGACCATCAAAACCCTGGTCCCAAAAGTGATCTGTAATTACAGAGAGACCTCTACTTTAAATTGATAGCACCTTCTTTGAAAGATATACTGCATGTTAAAAAAAATCTTAAATGCCCTTAAAAAAATTAAATTGATTATTCAAAAGGATCAAGTATCAACTTCCAATTATACATAGCAGAACATAGCCATTTTTTTCTGATTTGCAGAATTATACTATGATTTAGTGAAATTTCCTGCCAACAAATTTGTGGTTGACAATACTTTAATGGCTAAAAAACTTCATTAGCAATATCCTCAAGATCATGAAGGTGATGGTGAACAAAAGCTTTTGGGTATTTTTAATAAAGTTTTGTTAGTCTGAATGTATCATTAATGTATCTCTTAATTGTTGAAATATATATTATTATCCCAATTCTCAATTGAAAGCTAATAAGTTACTACTATATACAAAATAAGCAATTCCAAATGTTTTATTCTAGCTTATTATCTTCACTTTGGTCAACATCTTATATTAACTTAATATTTGTGACCAACTTGCAAAATCAGGCGCTTGTTGTCAGAAACAAAAGTTTGCAAAATCAGCTAAAATTCCCATTTATTTGACTGAGAATATAAATTATCATATCTTCGCCATTTGTTATCTATTTGCAACAGTTTTGATCATTTATTAGCTTTCGACCTCTACATCACAGAGGTCTCATAATGTCATTTTTTGAGAGAAAAGCCTTTTTTTGCTAGAGTGGGTCACATTTATCCTAAAATGTATGATGTCTTTGTGTATATACTGGTGCATTTTATTTAGTTCTTGTGTGCTCTCCTGTCTGGTTTTGTTTTCTTTGTCTAACGCATGCTTTTCTATTAACTGTTTGTTACATCAGTACAACGTCCAGCTTGGCCTACTGTTGGTATCCGTCCTTAGTATCCCCTGGCTTTTACTATCAAAGCCTGCTATTGAGTATTGGCGCCATAGAAAAGCTAAAAAGGTAAGTTCAAGATAAAGGATGAATTGTTTTTGATTGTCATAAAAATATAAAAAATAGGTTATGCTCAGTGCATGCACTTACCTTAAACAGGCTGTGTTAAAGAACTCTGTTATTCAAACATTGTCTGTGTACTAATAGAGTATTGATAGAACTAGGTACGAAACAGTATACTGAGTAAAAAGGTAGGTAATTTGTGTTAATTTTAAGATTTGCTAAAATTATCTTGAAGACCGGTGTTACAGTGTAACACATTGAATGCTACCTACAAGTACATCAGAGTTCCCAGGGGCGGATTTAGGGGGGGGCCGGCCCGGCCCCGGCCCCCCCCTTTTGGGAGGTAAAAAAAGAAAAAAAAAAGAAAAAAAAGAGAGAAAAAGAAAAAAATGATAGCCCAGAATGCCTCAAATGTTATGTTTGGTCGTCTAGAACACAGAAATTTCGCGGGGGCATGCCCCGGACCCCCT